CAACACACAATCGTGATTGCAACTTTAAAGTTGGTACATGTAGTAGAAACAGTGTGCCAATAATGAGGTTCACTGCATTATAAAGTTGGTTCGTCCTAGGACTCATTGGTGATGCTAGTGGCCGAAAACGTGGAAATCCAACCCCGGACCTCAAACACCGTACCAAATCAGGGTGGGGGATCCAAACCCGGACCTCAAACACTGTACCAAATCAGGGTGGGGGATCCAACCCTGGACCTCAAACACCGTACCAAAGCAGGGTGGGGGATCCAACCCCGGACCTCAAACTCCGTACCAAATCAGGGTGGGGGATCCAACCCCAGACCTCAAACACCCAACCAAATCAGGGTGGGGGATCCAACCCTGGACCTCAAACACCGTACCAAATCAGGGTGGGGGATCCAAACCCGGACCTCAAACACCGTACCAAATCAGGGGGGGGGATCCAACCCCAGACCTCAAACACCCAACCAAATCAGGGTGGGGGATCCAACCCTGGACCTCAAACTCCGTACCAAATCAGGGTGGGGGATCCAACCCTGGACCTCAAACACCGTACCAAATCAGGGTGGGGTATCCAACCCCGGACCTCAAACACCGTACCAAATCAGGGCGGGGGATCCAACCCCAGACCTCAAACACCCAACCAAATCAGGGTGGGGGATCCAACCCTGGACCTCAAACACCCAACCAAATCAGGGTGGGGGATCCAACCCTGGACCTCAAACACCGTACCAAATCAGGGTGGGGGAACCAACCCTGGACCTCAAACACCGTACCAAATCAGGGTGGGGGAACCAACCCTGGACCTCAAACACCGTACCAAATCAGGGTGGGGGATCCAAACCCGGACCTCAAACACCGTACCAAATCAGGGTGGGGGAACCAACCCTGGACCTCAAACACCGTACCAAATCAGGGTGGGGGAACCAACCCTGGACCTCAAACACCGTACCAAATCAGGGTGGGGGATCCAAACCCGGACCTCAAACACCGTACCAAATCAGGGTGGGGTATCCAACCCCGGACCTCAAACACCGTACCAAATCAGGGTGGGGGATCCAAACCCGGACCTCAAACACCGTACCAAATCAGGGTGGGGGATCCAAACCCGGACCTCAAACACCGTACCAAATCAGGGTGGGGTATCCAACCCCGGACCTCAAACACCGTACCAAATCAGGGTGGGGTATCCAACCCCGGACCTCAAACACCGTACCAAATCAGGGTGGGAGATCCAACCCCGGACCTCAAACACCGTACCAAATCAGGATGGGGGATCCAACCCCGGACCTCAAACACAGTACCAAATCAGGGTGGGGGATCCAACCCTGGACCTCAAACACCGTACCAAATCAGGGTGGGGGATCCAACCCCAGACCTCAAACCCCCAACCAAATCAGGGTGGGGGATCCAACCCCAGACCTCAAACACTGTACTAAATCAGGGTGGGGGATCCAACCCCGGACCTCAAACTCCGTACCAAATCAGGGTGGGGGATCCAACCCCAGACCTCAAACACTGTACTAAATCAGGGTGGGGGATCCAACCCCGGACCTCAAACACCATACCAAATCAGGATGGGGGATCCAACCCCGGACCTCAAACACAGTACCAAATCAGGGTGGGGGATCCAACCCTGGACCTCAAACACCGTACCAAAGCAGGGTGGGGGATCCAACCCCGGACCTCAAACTCCGTACCAAAGCAGGGTGGGGGATCCAACCCCGGACCTCAAACACCATACCAAATCAGGATGGGAGACACTTGCCTTCAAAACTTACACATACAAATTGTATCTACCTGTAAAATGCATGTAATTAAATTCATTCACCCCTGAAATTTCATAATGAACTATTCAAACCTTTGAATTGGAAGAGTTCAAATGTCTTAAGGGGTGAATGTCAGTTAAATTGAAAACTATATGATAGTAAAGATATCCCTCACTTGAAATTTTTTACAAGCAGATTTTTGTTTTGCCTCTATGTAAACTACAATACATATATCTTAATCATTAAACAATATGGTGTCTGATAGAAATCCTTACAGTCCCATATGTGGATCAGGGCTTGGTTGTCCTTCACTGTACATATTTGTTGTCAATTTCAGTTGATCAGATGTTCATTCATGTAATTTTGATGATAATGGCTTAAGTTCTGGCAGTGGGTGGCTGATTTCACTAGTGAAATTTAGTTTCACTTGGATTACTTTCCTAGTGTGCTGAAATAGTTAGTTACAAACCCTGGGAGACGGGAAACAAATAATTTTAAATGTTAACAAGGATCAAAGGAATTGTTTTCAAAGAACCGTCAATGGCTAATTATAACAATAATAGTGATAATGAGGCAGAGTATTAAATCCTCGTGGGGCGGTAAGCAGTGGGCCGTACACTTACAATGAAATAATAGCACCAAAAACACTCTTTGATTTTAACACAAAACCTTACTGAAATTCTATAATAAACAATTATAAAAACTTGTAAGAGTTTATTTATAAATTACCAGGTAAGGAAATGTGTTTTCATAAGAGCCAAATTCTAGTCAGGAACCAGAGAACGTCCTTGTGTGGGCCAAATTCTAGCTGAGACTAAGGAAGTAAATTTCACCGAAAGAAAACGTAGGTGAGACAAATTTCAGTTTGAAATAAACTCCAGTTGAGCCGAATTATAGATCTGAAGTCATTAAATCTAAGGTCGAAGTAAAATGTTCCTGAGCCAAAATCGAGATGAGAATTTTAGTCACTAGCTGGAGAATGAAAAAACACTTATTGATATTGATATTTGATAAATATATTGCCAGCACTTGAAAACTTATACCAGCCCAACGTGAATGGTAAGGAATTTTCAGGGTCACAATAATGGATCAATGGTTTCAATTATCAAAACATCATCTAAACTAGTTGTTCATTAGTGGTATTCTTCTTTCAGAAAATATTAAACGAAAAATATCTTTTCTCAGCTCTTAGACTTTTGCATTTTTTTCTTTATCAAATTTGGGAGAGAAGAGAAAAATGTCAAAATCCTGATTGAGAATGGTGCCAATTATCAGCCCGAAAAACACAGACATGAAAAAAACTGTCAGGTAAGAATAATACATGACAATGGTCTTCTATTGCTGTTTCCATTTTATTACACAGTTTTCCTGCATATATATTGAAAATTAATATCAAATCACCCCGATGTCCACCATATATATATACCAGTGAACCGTTCTAACACAAGTATACCTTTTTACTATGGGCATTTAGATGACCAGCTGCCTGATATATGATTGGTCACAGAAACTTAGGTAATTACATGTATAATTATATACCGTTCTCTGGTTTATGGCCATGGTGACTCTGGTTAATTGTCTGCATGTCTGTTGATTATTTAGCACCAATACTATTGAAAACCTACTGAAAACTGACGTCAAGGCAAAGAAATGCACACATATATATATATCTGTTCTGGAGGGTTAAACCAAGAAAAAAACTAGAATTGCAAGCCACAGGCTAAATAACTACCTTGTGCCCTCACTCGAGGAAAACAAACTTAACAGTTCACATCAATTTTTACTTAATGGATTAAAGATCAAGAGGTAATTTTATAAATGCTGTCACAGTAATGGAAATCAACGAGTGCAGAACTAATTAAAGTGCAATCTCTAGCACGCAACTATGTAAGGAATGCATGATGATGTGTGCCCAGTTTCCCAAATATTGGTTGTGAAGGTGAGTAAAAGTACTCCGAAAAAATATATGTAAGGATATCAGAATATCCCATTAAAAAGGCCATGAAAATTCTACCTGTAATCGCAGATATATCAGCGGACTTGCATGAAATCATTTATGCGGAACAACCGGTTTGTCCGTTTTAAAATGCAACAATTTCGGATATAAACCCTGGCGGACCTGCAAATGTTTATGCAGGCCTTGCATGGCTTTGTCAAGGCTCGCCTGAAAGCAGCATCAGATTACTAGGTCCGACCTTATTTAATAAACAGACAACTCTGGTCCGACCGGTCCAACCGTTTACTGTAACAAAACTTGTCTGGACAAAACATTGTCTGTTTATATGTCAGACACATGGATAGACTACAACCAGATTCCAGTAAATCCCCTCCCCTCCCCCCTCCACANCATTTTGTAAAATACTGTCTTGAAGTACGTAGGACATAGTATTTTGAGGGTCTGCAATTATAGTAATTAGGGTCGTAGGTAACCCCAAACACATTTTTTTCCATTTGGCTAATTTACATTCTGAGTTAAGATACTGTGATTGAGGCCGGTAACATTACAGATAAGGCAAAAGTTAATAAGAGGCCCATGGACCTTAACGGTCACCTGATTTATGTAAAAACTGATGTTATCGATGTTGCCAAATGAAAAAGAAATAATTTTGTAACAAAGGTAACTTGAACTACATGTAATGCAAAAGTAGTGTGACAGATCTGGGTAGTATATGTACTATGTACAAATAGTGGTTCTGTCAGTCAGCTGAATTTTGGTAAAGCACCTTAAGACCCTTCCATCTATGAAAAGTATTTGATTCTACCATATCTGGGTCTTGAGAAGAAGATTTTTTAAATTTCAGTCAATTCAACCCTTTTTGGCCCCACCCATCAGCCCCTGGGGTCAGTCAGGGCTGATATATGCATATCATCAAACTGCTATCCTATACTGATAATGCTAACCAAGTTTGAATTATTTCCAATGGAAATGAAACAAATGTTGGTCCAAAATTTTAATTCCCTATATAAACTATAGTAATGTTTACCCCCTCCCCAGGGGGAAACGTGAGACCCCAGGGTCATGAAATTCATAATTTTGGTAAAGCACCTTAAAACCCTTCCATCTATGAAGAGTATTTGATTCTACCATATCTGGGTCTTGAGAAAAAGATTTTTGAAATTTTAGTCAATTTTACCCTTTTAGGCCCAGCCCCACAGGGGCTGGGGACCATATAATCAAAAATTTCCTAAGTACCAGTATGGCCTTTTTTGTAACTATTCGATACTTACACATGGAGACACAGCCAAGGGTGAGAGCCGACTCCACCTGAATATTCTCATTCTCTGAGTGCACCATGAGGGCCACGAGGTACTTTATTCCACGGAACTGAATGATGGTGTTTTGATTGGGTTTGTGGGGGACGTAAGCCACTCCAACACACAGGTGGCGTATAGACTGTACCACACTCAAGATGATGTACTCTTGGTTGCTCTGGATGAGCCGGCCCAGCGGAGCAATACCATTGAGCCGGGCGATCTCGGACTGGTAAGTCAGAGGACCCTGTGCCAAGACACTTAGTCCCTCTGCCCCAATATACTGTAAATTTTCAGACATAGAGTTAACAAATTCGATCATTAGATTGACTTCCATTCGTTCTGCCATATAACGTCTAATGTCAAAGTCTGAACCAGCGAGCGACCACAAAGCTAGGGCTGTTTTTTCTAACACTATTTTTGCCCTTGTATTCTTGAGGAGCCGAAGTAAATGTTCCTGTACGTTATCGGCTAGAATAGCTTTTTGTGTCTTTTTGTTGTTATCTGCTACTCTACTGATGGCCTCTACAGCAGAAACTTGAATGTCACGGTTCCGTGTCGCCGTGAGAACCACGATATGAGGGGTGACTCCATTTTCAATGAAGCTGTTCTGATTTACCTCATCTTTATCCGCTATTTTACCCACAACTCGTGCGAGCGAATGAAGAAGATTTCTGTCTTTTTGGTTCTCAAATAAACCCACAATAGTTGAAATACACCCTGGACAGGTTCCGACCTGAGATTTTAATTTTGAGCTGGCCTCTGCAATGTTTCCTAGACATTCCAGCACCTGGACGAGTACCTCTTCGTCACGAACGGTCTGCATCACTTTGACCAGAGTCTGAATGGCATTGTTCTGTGACTCCACTTCAGCGTATTGCTTCTCAGTAGCCATTTCTTTCAGAATTTCAGCAGAAAGTTGAATAACATGATTGCATGTTGATTTTAACAATTTGATAAAAGTAGGGACACCTCCCGAGCTGATAACCTGTTCCTTCACTTCATGCTTTTCAATAACATTTAGAAGAGTCTGAAATGCTGGAATCTTTGATTCGTCAGCAATACTGGTTCCCTTGGCAACCTTGACAATGGTGGGTATGCCACCATTGTTGTACAGTTGCTCCCAGTTCGAGTTTATGCCGCTTTCCTCACTTCCCTGGGTCAAAGTTCGCAGACATTTCCCAGCAGATTCCGCTTCTTCATCCGACTCCGATGACACATATCGCAGAAGATGTTTCCACACCGGTATCCGTGGGTCATCAAGGTTGATAAAGTATTCCAGGAGTTCAATGTAGAATTTGTTGGCACAGATTTCCACAGCCCCGTGGTTCAGGGCACTCAATGCCTCCACGTTGGCCCCCTGTTCCATTAACAGTTTGATGGAGTCCTCCTTGCCTCCATCTACCGCGCACAGGAAGGGGGTGAGGTGCAACTCATCGGTCGTTTCCAGCTCCATAAGACTTTCGTCGTCCGACAGGAAGAAGGTAATGGACTTGGTGAAGCCTCGTTGAGCGGCATGATGTATTTGCGCCCAACCAGCTGCATCAAACTCGTCCGCCATTTTGGTTTTGTTTTATGTAACCTCCAAAAATAAACTTCAGCTTGGAATCTCCTCACATCTGAAATAATGAAAGAAATTTATTAGGAAAATTAATATTTATTCAATTCCTTAAACAAACGTTTCATTTTGATTAATATGTTTATAGGAACCTCTGGGCACATTGAAAGAGCTGCAGAACTTGAAATGGCTAATTATACATGTATAGTGTTGTTAATATCAGCTGTGAAATTATCTGCTTATTCTCATTCCAAATATTCACTTTCCATTGCTTCATCTCCATGATACGGTCTGTAAAAAGCTATGTGTCCGTAAAAGAGAAGAATGCACAAATATGTTTGATTATTTCCCAATTTGTCAAACATTCGTTCTTCGATCACGGGTTATAAAAGCTAACAGCCAAATATTTGTTCTGCACTTCAAAGTGAAACTGATGCTTTATTTTACTGTGTATATGAATATTCATGCACTGTGAGAATAAAATTGTCCTCCTACTTTTTATGGAGGGTTTGACAGGGTGAAACAGACTGCAACATTTCCAATTACACCGGAGCCTGACTTTTATGAAACATCAATAACATTTATGTAAATCAGAAAATGAACTTCCACACATTTAAAATTGAGATAAACAAAATAGATATTTATGTCAAATATGTGTTAAAAGGTCTTTGAACGAGAAATGACAATCAAATATTGATACCAGAGCGACAGTTACAGTTTTCGTGTTTTACTTTAATGTGTGCAAAAGGGTCTAGGTCATAACAGAAAATAGGTTTTCTCAATTACACTTGACCTCACCTGGAACACTGACAAAAGGGACAATAAGCAATTTCTTTATCTTATATGTTGTAAGAAGCAGACTCTTCTTTCTAGTGACATATTAATGCAGTAACCAATGTAAACTATTTTGGTTTTAGTCCATCGGCCATTTACAACTTTTTTCCTTTTATAAGGGAGACAATTCATAGGAAACATTTCAAAATATAGAGATAATGTGTATTTCTTTACATATTTCCCTACCAGTCAATTTTTTTAATAAGTAGTCATTGTGGTATTGCTGAGTGATAAGTGAATTAAGTTTGAAAGTAATTTTAACAAAAGTCATTGGTAGGTTCTGGCAAAAATTATTGTCTTTTTTCTTTCTTTTTTGTTTCATTTTATTTAATTAAAAACTTAAATTATTTTGTGCAATTATGTCTGTTCCTTTCGTGTCTGAAGGCCAATTTATGCTATGACGTTTCAAGCATTATTTTGTTTCATATAGGTTTTAAAAATAAAAAGCTTAAGTACCAAATTTATATAGTTTATTATTTTCTCTTGGTCTTCAGCTTAATACATGGTGTAAATGTAAAGGACATTTGTAATGTCTTAATAAAGGATTATCTTTAACCAAATAATCTTTCATTAGGAAATTTGGTCATTTATTTAACCCTAAATTTCTAGGCATAGAATAAGATTGAAAAGGCAGAAAATGTTTCCCAAAATAGTGTATATTGGAGGGTTCATGTGTGGTACATCAAATAGATTCATTTTCAGCTTCCCTTTTTCTTATTTTGTTAGATTTCAATTAAAATAAATGCTTTTAAAGTTTTTATTTTTTTCTGGTAATTTAATAATTATTCAAATAAATATATACACTGGTTTAGACATCTGATGTTTTCCAATTAATTAACATTTGAAAAATTGAAAATGAGATTTTTTCTGCTGATGATGTTTATATAATGATTTTATCAATATCTTAAAAATGGTTTCCAGAGTAAAAGAAATTTGATGCCATGTAATAGGTCATTTTCTTTTGATATGTTTATTATATACATTTTAACTTTCTAAAATTCAATAAAAGAAAAATCTGCTTATAGTTACCCTGTCAAACCTACGTTTTACTGCCGACCCAAGAGATATTATACCCGTTTATAGACCAGCTTTATTCAAGTCAGGATTTATGATCCAATAAACACAGACTATGAAAAAACATTTTGAAACCATAAGCAATTTATTTTTCTGGACTTTTAGGATTAAATCCATATGTTGAGGCATAATATAAAAAGAAAAAATCTCAACGAGTGTTTAGTACTTTCATCTCGTCAAGGAGATTCTTCAGACTCCTCAATTTTGATACTGTCAATTTATAACTGCAAATACTTTAAGTAAATCCTGTTTAACAGCCATATTTTGAGACATATATAGGCCAACATGATGCTGAAACAAACAAAAAGTACTAAATTTCCAAAAGTTACCTTTAAAAAACCTATGATTGGAAAATGATACTGATAAATATATTGACAGAAATGCCTCAAGCGTCTGTAATAATTGTCAGGTAATGTTTTTATCTTTAATTTATTAAATGACTTCACATTGAAATAGTTATATAAAGCATCAGGATCTTGACTTTAAAGCTGACAGTGCAACTCAATTAAGATTAAAGAATCCCTTAATAGTCATCTCAAATAACATAACACCACTGTCAAGATAATCTACTACAAGTATTACAGTCAAGGCATGGATTTCTGTCAATTTATGTTCTCATCATTTCTTCTGTTAATTTGTAAAAGGAAAACTTTTGTTGTAACTTAAGCACTTCTTTTTGAAAGATGAACATTCAAAAAAAAAAGATCACTAAAAGCACATTTTGAGAGTGTCAATTTAGATATTTTTAATTAAATACATTATACATGACAACACTGAATAACTACGTCAGCGCTTGATTTGATTATCATTATTCAATATTAATTACATGGTCTCCGATATCATCAGAGGATTCGTACATATTTAATGTGTTATGCAAACGTACGTAATAATCTAAGTAATGTACGTACAGGTGCAACTAAATTCAGGTGTATAAGTTTTATAAGATCTATTGGACCCATACGACAGCAACGTGTCTGGTCAAGGAAAGAACCAGTGGACATGCAAAATAGTGGACATCCGAACAGCGGTGTTAGATCAGAGATTAATCCCAATACACAGCCTGTCACCGTGAAACTTTTCACAAATCGATGGTTACACAGGGGAGATAAGTTGACGACAAAATCACTGCAGTACGTGTGTTTGGAAAATGGCATGCAATAAAGTTGATGGTCAGTCGACACTTACCGTAGACGGTTTGTGAAAAGTAAACACCTGTTGAGTCCGAAGTGTGTCCCCCATCGCCATTATCGGGGTCCAATAGGTGAAGTACACATTAATAGGTTCCCAAAGCACACCTATGGTTCGTTACGCTGATGGTAAATTGAGGCCAGCAAGCTCCTCGCTGATTGGTTGCTAAGCGCGCACCTGCTGTGTATAGCGACACCTATATGGTTTTTAATTCACCAGGGACAGCCACTCGTACAAAGCTGTACGATTCTTACGCCAATGACATTTTAAAAAAAGTGTAGAGATCAAATTTAATTTGTAATTATTCGGCTTACAGAGTTCAAAATTATAAAATATTAGCAATTAACTTGCTAGACCAAGTCGAGATTGTAGTTAGCAAATATCTATATTTTAAAACGACGGCCATTATTTGATTTTAACAGCTATATTTTACTTACATGTTAAAACAGTAAAAGATAGCGAAATACATGTTAAATACAATACTTTCTCAAGACACGCTCCAGTAAAACAAATGAGTTTTATTATTTAGACTTCGCCCACAATTACATATCAATACCTCCCGTTTTCAGAGTACTATACGTACATAGTTGCATACAATACATTCAAAACATTTTGTGTATTTTAGTTTAAACTTTATTTATTATCGATATATTATTCCAGTAAAACAAACATGATCAACATATAGGATTCGAAAACAAGTACAACGTACTTATGTTAATCCGTCTCCTTTTTGTAAAACGGCGATTGAACGGCACTGACATATAGATATAAGTGTATAGAGGAGAAGAGGATGGGGGAGGAAGAAGGGATGCAAAGGGTTTAAGTGTTGTTGGGGATAAAATATATAGGGGAGTATTTTTACTGCATTACGGGAGGAAAAACTGGTTGGAGTACATTTTTGATATGGACACGTGTCGTGGACTGTAAGGAGGCAGTACCCAAATCGGATCACGTTTTGAAAAAAATACTAATAAATAAATAAATGTTCCAACAAATCAGTTATAACAATGATGTCGTCTTAGAATAGATATCCTTGCACCATTTATTGTCTACAGATGATTAGTTTCTAAGTTCAAATAGCACAAGAACACGTAATTCAAACTCAAATGTCAGTGTTTTGATTACGTTTTTAAAAAATGGCGCGTGCGACGACTATGCTTTCTGTTTTGGATTATAGGAATGAATTCACACTATAGAAATACTTTTTGTCATATAAATTTTTAAGGTCATCATAAAATGTTAATATGCTGACAAAAAAAATATATTCATTTGAAGCGTACGATACTGCAAAATTCAAGCCTTGATCCGTTTTGGGTCCCGACATTCGCAAAAACCGGAGACGCTGACTTGTGACTTCAGAGAGTTCTTTAAATATCTCAAGTGAGCCCCGGGTGCTAATTTTGTTTGTTAGAACACCCATCGATATTCTTTCTTTGATACAACCATAAATGCATATAAATCCTCCACAGATTTTTCAATGATTTAAAAAAATGATGGTTTGGTGATCCGGTTCGGGTACTGTCACCTTACATGTCACTGAGATATTCAACACATAATAAGTTAATTGCATATAAGGAAAACTTTCCATGCTGACCCCTGATTATTCCGACATCCAGTGGTGTATAGAAACCTGGTGTAAATTTTGAAAACACAAACCTTGATCAGTTCCCGGAGTATCGTCAGAGTTGCGTCTCTTCGATCGAGACGACAGAGAACAACTACGGCAAGTCAACGGGACCCTATATAAAAATATCAGTTATCTTGTAAATCTTATAGAAAAATACAAGGGTTACTTCGTTTTATAAGATGTCTTGCATTGCAACGAGATTTCAGTTGTATAAGAAAAGTATAAATTATGAGATAAGTCATAGAATATGAACTATATCGTATATAATAAGTTAAGGATTACCCATGCAATATTATTTTGCGTATTAACCCATGTAATATGACCTATCAGCCCTGTGAACGGTTGTAAGTTTCAATTGTAACGTTTCAATTGTGACATCACGCCTAGGACAAGTTCATGACTTGAGTTGAAGTGCTACATGTATCATTGGTCCGTTCGTCAACTTTTTGTTTAAACGACTTCTTATGAAGGTCCAAAAGTCCTACAGTCAGGATATTTGGCCAGTAACATCCAGGGATGGAGCCCGACAAAATTTGCGAATGAAAATGACCTTGACCAACTTAAAGGTTACTGGGTCAAAACATTCAAATAAATTCTTCTGAAGATCCGAAATGCCTAGAGTCATGCTATTTGGCCAATAGCATCCTATGATGGAGACCAACAAAGTTTGTGAAAAGACCTTGATCTACTTTCAAGCTCAAAGGGATCAAATCTGTATAGGTCAAAACATTCAAATGACTTCTTCTAAAGATCCAAAAGACCTACAGTCATGATATTTAGCCAGTAGCATCCTGTGATGGAGCCCAACAACGTATTCGAATGAAAATGACATTGACTTACTTTCAAGGTCACAAGGGTCAAATAGGTCAAATAATTCAAACAACTTCTTCTGAAGATCCAAAAGACCTAGAGTCATGATTTTTTTTGGCCAGTAGCATCCTGTGATGGAACCAAAATATTTCGCTATGAAAATGACCTTGACCTACTTTTAAGGTCATAGGGGTCAAAACATTTGAACGACTTCCTCTGAAGGTCCGAAAGTCCTAAAGTCAGGATATTTGGCCAGTAACATCCTGGGATGGAGCCCGACAAAGTTTGCGAATTAAAATGACCTTGATCTACTGTCAAGATCACAGGGATCAAATAATTGTAAACTTTCAACCGCTTCTGAATATTTGACAAACAACTCCATGTAACAAAACAAAAAGGTGTGCAATACAAGCCTCTCTGGGCCTCTTGTTAAATTATGTATTGGAACATTTGTATATAATAGATAAATATTTATTTAGTCTTTCTCCGATGCCCTCAATGTGTTTCTCATGCTAATATTTCATAACTGAAAAAAGTGTTTCTGCCCTGAATCAGAAGCGTAAAACTGGTTACCATTTGTAAACTGTGCATAGTAATTCTGGTTTGTATGATACTGTAGTAAACATATATATACGAATGGTGAGCCAAAATGTCTTTTGATAGATATGTCAAAATTGATACGAAATGACCACAGATGCAGTTGTTATAAACATAATATATTGAAGAAAATTAATATTGTACACTTGAATTTGGTATGTGGGTATGATGTCATCTATGCACTCAACAAGTCCTGGATGCAAGACTTCACTTATGTGTGATTGAGGGTGTGTGATGATTGTTTTTCATTGCTTTGTTAACACATGAAAAACAATCGAAGACCAACTTTATTTTGGAAGTAATCAGACACAGTTTCAAAACAATTTATTTATCATCACTTGTGCCTTTTTTTCCACAAACTAACACATATTGTAGAAGAAATAATAAAACATATATGTAAGTGTGTATTAGAATTGGCATAATTTGTTGATATCCTAAAATAAGGCTACTGTGACCTCAATTTGACCTTTAACCTAGACCACAAGTTCTTAAATTCAGTTTAATGTGTTCTCTTCATACATTAGTCACTCTACATGAATAGGCTTCAGACTTTATTTTGTAGTATACGGGGAGAGGGATATCTATAAAGCCAAAGCTTTGAGTTAAATATATTCTTTTATTTTGCCACTATAAAACTACCACCATCATTTTCCCTACCCCTCCTGTTTTCAAGCCAAGACAAACTAATGACGATAAGGGAAAGAAGCCAATGGTGAGCAGGAAAACAATCCTTTCTGTTGCTTCATAGACTAACAAAGAAGGAATAATGCTCCAAAGTCAATGAATCAGCGTAAATGTACATAAAGATGTATGACCTTTGACCTACTGACCTTGACCTTTTCACGGTCCATTCATTTCACGGTCCCTTAATTCTATAGTCCATTGATTTTTGTCACGTGAAGGAGCACTTAATTGATTTTATTGATTTTTGTTGGAGATGGAGAAAAAACACAAGTTAAAGTTGAGAAGAAATTGGATATTTCTAGTGAACAATCTCCCCACAAAGGATATAGTACGCATGTTGCATCAAAATAACATACTTACAGACTATATGGTTGAAGACAGAAACAGAAAGGAACAAGTATGATAAAGCCAGAACATTTTTGAGTATATTAACCAGAAGAGGACCAACTGCGTTTAGTAAATTACGTGAGAGCTTGATACATTTAGGAAGACAGGATATAGTATGTGTTTTGGACATTTCTGATTAGGTCAACAGATCTGTGGCATTGTATGGATAGGCCATTTGAGTTCTAATTAGATTTTTTCGGTTAGATACAACCTATGGTAGAATTCTGTATTTATTTTTGCAGTATTATTGTCGATTAAGTACTCCAACAAAAAGTATCCGTCGTAACCTTCATGTTGTGAGCTAAGACTGTAAAGTCCTTGTGACCTTCATGTTGTGAGCTATGACTGTAAAATCCTTGTGACTTTCATGTTGTGAGCTATGACTGTAGAGTCCTTGTGACTTTCATGTTGTGAGCTATGACTGTAAAATCCTTGTGACTTTCATGTTGTGAGCTATGACTGTAGAGTCCTTGTGACTTTCATGTTGTGAGCTATGACTGTAAAATCCTTGTGACTTTCATGTTGTGAGCTATGACTGTAGAGTCCTTGTGACTTTCATGTTGTGAGCTATGACTGTAAAATCCTTGTGACTTTCATGTTGTGAGCTATGACTGTAGAGTCCTTGTGACTTTCATGTTGTGAGCTATGACTGTAAAATCCTTGTGACTTTCATGTTGTGAGCTATGACTGTAGAGTCCTTGTGACTTTCATGTTGTGAGCTATGACTGTAAAATCCTTGTGACTTTCATGTTGTGAGCTATGACTGTAAAATCCTTGTGACTTTCATGTTGTGAGCTATGACTGTAAAATCCTTGTGACTTTCATGTTGTGAGCTATGACTGTAAAATCCTTGTGACTTTCATGTTGTGAGCTATGACTGTAAAATCCTTGTGACTTTCATGTTGTGAGCTATGACTGTAAAATCCTTGTGACTTTCATGTTGTGAGCTATGACTGTAAAATCCTTGTGACTTTCATGTTGTGAGCTATGACTGTAAAATCCTTGTGACTTTCATGTTGTGAGCTATGACTGTAAAATCCTTGTGACTTTCATG